ATAACTTCCAGAATCTCTGAATATGCAAATGTTTTCTAAAGTTTTGCTGCTGGACACAAGATGTCTCCTACTTCACTGTAAAGTCCATTCTCAGTGGTAGTGCACTGGTGGCTTCAAGTTTCTACATCACACTGTACAAGTTGATACTGGACCAGAAAGGCAGACAAACATTTGGAGTTGTCCACTGGATATATCCACCAGAGGTCCAATATTCAGTTATAAAATACCTGGGTTTTTAGCTGCTAAATGCTTCACTGTGTTCACTGGCTAGTCTCAACTGTTTCTTGCTGATTGCTGCTGAGCAGCTAGGGTACAGTAGGTTTTTACAGAGAGTTTTTTCACTGAAAACAGCTGCCTGCTGGGGAGCTGCAGAGGTGTTGCTCTCTGCGGGTCTGTCACTACGAGCGACACCTTTCACATGATGACACATTGCTAATTGTTGATTTAGTGCAGCTTTAAGAACTCGGAGAGGAAGTTACACAGGACTTGCCACTGACCTGAGCATTCTGCAGTATGTTGTTTACCAACACTACTCTACGTCTCGCATTCAGCAGCTTCTTTACGTAAGGGTCCAGGTCTAGAGCCACCTTCTGATGTTCATTTATCCTGCATAACTCTGCAAACAATGTACATGACAAGACACACAAGACCAAAACAAAGGTTAGCAAACACATGCTATTTTATATACCGGAATTTAGTCATTTTTATTTTTATTTTTTAAAGATATTGGCAATTTAATATAAAAAAAAAAAAAAACACCTGAGTCAGGGATTTAAGAGAAATTATACAGCAAATTACCTGTGGCCAGATTGTCTATATGTTCTCTTAATTCTACCTGGCTTTCTCTGCAAAGAATAGAATAATCACATTAATCCAGAGGAAGGACAGATTATACAAAATAGAGAATGCAGTGAAATGTTAGTGCAAAACCTTTGAGCAGGTTAGTGTTTATTCATCGTTTAAAAATGTAACATTAAATCAAAATGACAAGGGTAGTCATTCAGGTTATCAATATCAATGCTTAAACCCTCCAGGGGAAAGATAAAGGCTAATTATACCAGTGGGAGAGTTGGCTGATATGTATTAAAAAAGGTAACATCTCCACAGACAGCCATTTTGAAATGAAACAGCAGGGTAAACACAGATGCTGCCAGTGATACTAATTACGGTTCTGTTCCATTCAGGTCGAACAGTCAGGGTGGCTTTCACTGGAAAAGCTCTGCTACACTAAATGGAACAGAACCATAATCATTATTATTGGCAACACCCGTGTTTATCCTACTATTTAATGCCAAAATGGCTGCTGTGAAAAGGGTCTACCGTGAATTATAAAATAATAAACAGCACCGGGTCGATGTATTCTGCAAAGTCACGAGACTGTCAGGGGACTGCCACAAGCAGCTAGCACGGGTGGCAGCAGCCGCGCTTCATTAAATAATATCAATTAAGCATTCAATAAGGAATTCCAATTTACCTGACTGAGTGTACATGCAGGTCGAGCTGCTGGATAGCTGGTTTCAGGAGGTCGAGCAACCCCTCGGCAATAACATCTTTACCTGAAGAAGTCTCTACTAACGCCGCCGCAGCCATTTTAGTAAATCATCAACACAGCCAGGCCGGAAGTTACGACCCCGCGACGTCATAAGAACCTCTCCATTTTCTTCCAGAGAGTAGTCCGCTTAGCTAGCAGCACCATTTTGGGGAGACACATCGCAAAACCGTGTCTCTGGCATTGTATATTAATTCTGAAAAAAGACACGACTTTAACTAGAGTTAGCTAATTTCTTGTACAGGGTTTAATTAAGAAGCTAGCATATTATAGATTAGATTCAAACAAAAGAATATAAGGACGCCCTACACGGTCGCACAAGGCTGCTACTAGCTAGCTACCGACGCTAACTCTAGCTGGCTGTAAGGCTTTTCTCCACCGACGCAACGTTCACTGTAAGTTAAAATGGTTATTTTAGACCTTTGAATTCTGATTGAGCTTCTTGTATACAAGTAAATGTGTCTGGAATTAATAATAGCTGACGATGGGCCTATTTAAAGTCGAGGTCCGCCCAGCTAACTTGTCTATTATTAATTTTGTAAAGGGTTCGTTGTACTCTGAAAGTATTTCACTAAATGAATGTTCCTGGCAGATTCGATCGTGTGTGTTGAGTATCGAGGCGTTCCTTGTAACCAGAGTACTGATTAACTAGTACTGCTTAATCTGGAGCGGAGGAAATGAACACAAACAGTGGCACTAATGATATATGGCCTGGCAGCTGTTGACCTACTCAGTTGTTTTAGTAATGGTAATTGCACAGACCCCACCATCTTGTGATTAGGTTCACAGTACAGTAGTATAGTTTTGGTTAACTGAAGGATTTTTTTAAAAAGCTGCAGTAGGTCACTTTTTATAAAAAAAATAACTTAGTTTTATTTGTTCCAGATAATCTGTGAAACAATCAGGTTCCTCTGGCTCCTCCTAGTGTCCTAATGGTATTTACACGAATCCACCGGCCTGAACGAAAACAACCAATCAGAGCCAAGGAAGATGGAAAGATGTTTTGTGTTGGATGCTTAAAGAGGGGAATTCTTGCAAATGCCATTAGGAGCACTAACACAACAATCAGAGGATGTTTGTGTTGGCTCCAGGCTCTGTTTTATGGTTTTCGTTATCATTAGGAGCAGTAGAATGAGCCAGAGGAACCTGATTTTCTCATTTACTACTGTCGGGATATGGTGAAAGTTTCAGAAAATTTTACAAACTTATTTTGTGAGAGTTACCTACTGCAGTTTTAATGCAATGACTGTGAGTTCCCACCATCTTTTGTCTGGATGTTAATATATGCATACATTCTTTTCAACATAATAGACCTTTTTCACAGCAGCCATTTTGATGTGACATAGTAGGGTGAACACAGGTCTTCCAGCTACGTTTCATCCGGAGTCTTTAATAACAAGTACATTGTGTTTAATTAGCAAAGTAGTTTTAAAAAGTGCACACAAAGGGCAACCATTTACAGCATACTGCTGTTAGAAACTGAGTACAATAAGCTGATAATTAGCCTGATCAGTCAGTAATTATTCCATGCACCAAACTCCCTTTAAGAAATATCACATTTTAACAGTTCCTAACTGGACCATAAAAACACATAACTCCAGAAACACAAGATAAAGGGTGTCATCTGTCGACTGTCTTCTTGTCAATTTGGCATCAATATAATCTATAAAGGTAAGTGTATTCAGTACAAGTGTTACATTTAGTCTGCTTAACGGGCTCAGCCTCCATTGTAGCTGTGCCCTTTCAGTGGGAAAGACTGTGGCAATGCGAGGCAGGCCGTTCTGATAGTTAATATTTCTCGCTAAAATAAGTGCTAATTGGTGGAGCAGATACACACCGAACTGAACACACTCACTTACATTTGATGCAATGTTAAGCCAAATGTTCACTCGGATACCATAAGTTGTTTGAAAGTTTTGTTTTGAGTTCACGGTGTTTTGTTTTCTCTCCCATCTATTCCCAGGAGCCTGCAAGCGAAGTCTTCCAAAATGAGCGCGCCCTCCTCCCAAAAAGTCGTCCTGAAAAGCACCACCAAAGTGTCCCTAAATGAGCGGTGAGGCGCCACGCACCCTGTCAGCAGTTAGACACCAGATGCAAGGGCCAGCCTTGGCTTGTGAAGGGTCTAGTGCTCCCTACGGAAGGCTACTGTTGGGGACCGGACCCGACATGGATGCTATTCTGACTGTCCCCAGTGTGTGCACTGCTCACTCAACTTGTTGGTCCTGTCAACATTTGTTGGTGCTCCAGAGATTAATGTGGTTGTAACACAGAGCAGAGGGAGCTTGCCTGGTTCAAATATCTTGTGTGAGCATTGCACACATGTAGACAAGGGGAGATGGTAGTGGTCATACTTGGTAAGCCTTGGTAAGCCTATGCTGGACCAGACCACTGTCCTACAAAAGCCATGGCACTCCTGCTCCCTGTTACTTGCACAGCACAGTATACATCAAGTATACGCTTTGAAAGGGGCTTAAGGGGAAGGCTTAAGCTAAACCAGGGAGATGGGGCACCTCTTAATGCTTTGTGCCTCTCAGACTTTTCTCTCTCAAACCAGTGGAAGTGAAGCACATACTCTTTCATCATCCTCTCCTGTCATTGTCTTTCTCCTCTCCACTCCAAGTCTATTAAAGACCAGGCACTCAGTCCTAGCTTGGACGTGACAATGAGCTCCCCTTTCCCCCCTCCCATCTCTCCTTCCCTGCTCTGTCACTCGGTGGTTTAACCACTAGTCACGGTCCATGCTGTAAGTGGCTGGGTGGCCAAGCACTCCTCGCGCCCGGGGCCTCTGCTGCTGCTGCATGACGACACCCCAGCCGGTCAGCTGGAGGCCTGTAAGTGGCAAATCGTGCTCCTCTTCTGGCACCTCCTCTCTGCTTCTGTCCTTCAGTCTGTCTTCTAAGTTTCTTTATCTTGGTTTTCCTTTACTTTTGTGCTTGTTTGAACACATACTAAATTCAACTATGAATCATTCTGGTTTGTCTTATGATTGAGAGAGAAAATGAGTGCCTGCAAGTGGAACTTACATGACAAAAGAGCCAGCACAGTCTGTGTGGCCGCATCCATAATATGAGAAATGACTTGATGTGGAACCCTGCTCCCTCCTCCTCCTCTCTATATCCCCTGTCCCCTTCTTTTACTTCCTCCCTCTTTTTTCCCTCCCACCTCTAAAGCTTCACTAACATGCTGAAGAACAAGCAGCCCACTGCGGTAAGCATTCGAGCCACCATGCAACAGCAGCATTTGGCCAGTGCCCGTAATCGCCGGCTGGCCCAGCAGATGGAGAACCGGCCCTCAGTGCAAGCTGCTCTGAATCACAAGCAGGTGAGTGCAAAGATCAGACCGAGCCACCTGCACCAATACTGTTTCTCACTCTGTCTTCTACATGTATATTAGCCCTCTCAAATAAGACAGAAAAAGGGGTATATTTCATGAGTGAACTGTAGCTACATCCTGCTTGAGATGTTAAAGGGAGCTACCTACCCTTCACCAAAGAATACAGTGTAACATCTACTAGCTTAAGACCCAGATAGTTATCTAAAATTCCAGTCTAAATAATGTGAATTTAGTTGCCATTGAATTGATTTCATACCTTTACACTGGCTGAGACACATCTGTCCAGAGAGATGTTGGAGAACGGTCACACATGGAAGAAGAGTTCAGTGCTTAAACCGTACTTGAACTTTAAGTAGCAGCCTCAGCCAATAGTAAATATGTGTGTGGGGCTGACCCCAAAACAGACTACAAACCAACCAAATGATTTCCATCTGCTGTACATCCTACACTGCCCACATTATGCCGCAGTAGGTATACTTCAGAGAGCAGGAGGAGCCTGCTTTGGCATATGTGTGACTGTACCTTTGCAGTTTAAATAGTTGGGTGGCTGACTCATCAAGTATTTGCCTGTAGTATACAGACGTAGTGGGGATCCAGCCCTGCATTAAAACAGCATGGGGCTGTGTTTGTTGATTCTGCAGAGACAATCAAACACGACCCAGGAAGTCCGGGTGGTTTGACAGATTTATGCATTTAAAGTAGGGCTGCACAATTAATCAGGATTTTATTGAAATCGCAATATCAAAATCACAGAAGCTGCAATTTGTTGATAAAATGTGTGACAAACAGCATTATAATGAAGCACTGCAGAGATGCCCTGCTCTTCTCATCTTGTTCTCCAGATGTAAGAATATAATGTTTGGTTAGTACAGATCCCAACAGAGTTGAACAGAACATTATGATTTCCATTTTGAAAGTTAAATTTGTGATACAAAAATGACCGTCTAATCTAATAACTAATCGGAAATCATATCGCAATATCTGTCAAAATAATGGCACTATGAGTATTTTTTTTTTTCATATTGGTCAGCTGTAATTTAAAAGTTTATCAGATACCAAAACAAGCCACAGCGGTTTATGATACTTGAAATAGTCATCGTGGTGGCAACTATTATGTCTTTGGTCTCAACAGTCGCAGGTCTAATAGTGAATGCAGCGCTTTGCCAGATAAAGTTGTGTTGTGTTGAACCTGGTGTAGCTTTTTTGCTGGAGCCCTGCTTCTATGGATTCAAATAAATTAAGGGGCTGAGTTTTTTCACACAGAGGTCCCCTGAGCCCAGCGTCACTGTAACTGCCACCTGTCGCATTTCTGTTCCTCACAATTGCCCGCCTTGTTTGTTCAGCTTAAACTTGTCATAACTGCATCCATGAATATCTTGTGTCAGAGCCTGAAGCAGCGCCTGGGGAAGAGCAACATCCAGGCCAGGCTGGGCCGGCCCATCGGGGCCCTAATGCGTGGAGGAGCTGTCGGAGGCAGAGGTGGGATGCGGGGGATGACCAGGGGAGGCCTCAGAGGACGAGCCAGAGGAGGCACAATGAGAGGAGCACTGTCCATGAGAGGTGTGTATCTCCTCTGTGAATATGGCTCCGATTCCAACTGCATGCTCAAGCTGTGGCAGGGCTGTGACTTTTCTCCGTTTACTGGGTTTGCATTGAGTGATGACGCCATTTTGTGTTGCACAGGGAAGCGGGTGCTTACAGGCGGCCCCATGCGAGGCCGTGGCTCTGCTGGCCGTATGGCAATGCGTAGAGGAGGCCGCCACCGTGGAGGAGTTGCTGGCAGAGGAGGAGCTCTGTCCCGAGGAGCAGCACGGGGGGGAGTAGCCAGAGGTCAGGGACTGACGTTTTATTTTCTCTTATTTAAAAAATTAATTCTTATTGTATAGTGTTTATACAATTTTTTTTTTTTTCCTATTTTGTAAACTTTCCTGCTTGTGCTTATTGACTTACTTGCTTTCGTCTTTTTCCATTTTTCTAATACTGTTTATTGTTATGCACCAACATACCAAGGTATATTTATTGCATGTGAAAACCTACTGGCAGTAAACCCCAATTCTCATTCTCAAGTGTGGAAAAAAAATGTATTTCTTACTTTTCGTTGCAGTAGGTAATTTATTTTTTTTTAGCTAAAGGAGTGATTATCAATAAAAAAAAAAAAAGTACTGTCTCTAGATCAGTGCTATCCAGTCACCATCGCTGTGTTTTTTTGTTTTTTTTTGTCCGACAGGCCGTGGTGGACTGAGAGGGCGAGGTGGTTTCGCCGGCCGAGGGGGGCGCGGCCGTGGGCGGGGCAGAGGCGTCGGCAGACCAGTCGTGACCCGCGAACAGCTGGACAACCAGTTGGACGCCTACATGTCAAAGACCAAAGGTCACCTGGATGCTGAACTGGACGCCTACATGGCCCAGGCAGACCCAGACAGCATGGAGTGATGCTGAAGGACTCTGAAGCAGAAGCACACTGCGGAACTGCACAGCTGAACTCACACATACCGTGTAGTGTATTTTATACCAGATCGATGTGCTGAGAAATGATTGTGTTACTAAGTTAGATGAGTGGTGACCCAGGACTCTTAGCTTTGAACAGCAGGAAAATCACCTGAATGTGCTTCGACCTCCACTCGATCCTGCATCAACCCGCTCCTGCGAAACCTTTTTAATTCTGGAATAACTGTGTGAAGGGACCTTTTTAAAATATTAACGAACCCTGCTGTCTATAGATTTCTGTGTTTTTGTTTTTTTTATTTTTTATATATGACCTGAGAAACACTTAAAACGGATATCTGTAATGGCTTAAAATTGGTGACTGGTCCAGGAGATGTGGTGTGTTGAATTCCATTTTTACTTTACTTTTTTTTTTTTTTTTTTTAAATTAGATTTTAGCGTTGCTGTACTCCGATCTTTTGGGATTCATTAATTTGTTTGTCTTGGAATATTTGCAATTCAAGACATTTCTAAATTATTTGTTTAAAAAAAAGTTTTAAGCCAAGTACCCATTTGTCTTTGTATTTAAAAGATGTAGAAGTTCTTTTGTTTCTCTGTATCTTCCACCCGTCAGCACTCCTCAGTGCAGCGCTGGCACTCTTAACTTGTACTCGAGAGCATTTGTATGACGTTACCCAAAGCAAGTAAAATAGGTTTTAATTAAAATGGAAATTGTAATTTCCCTAATTGTGTCTACTGTATGAATTTCCCTTGAGTAAAATGTTGACCACAGATCAAATTAA